TAAAAATACAACCTGGATGATGGAAGGTTCTCAAATTTTCTAGTCTATTGTTTTTATTGGCGTTGTAACAGCACTGATATTCTCTTTTACCATTTTCATTCCTGCAGCTGGAGAAGGTTCTGTAGTCAGGGCCGGCGGAAGCGGGCCTTCGAGGCCTTTTTTCCAGGCGGGCGCTGACCAACCGACAACACAGAGCTTTTTGTTTTTGTATTAATGCAAAAGAATGTGCACTAACTGGGAAAGAAAAATCAATGTACCTTGAATGCTACACAGGACAGGGACATTGGGCATTTGCACCCCTCACTTTTCCTCTCCAGCCCACACAAATACCTTGCCATCCATCCATCAGTCGTTAGGTACAGTTTCACACAAAGGAGTTCCAGTTCCAAAAGCCATAAGAATTCACACTGTGAGTATGTTTAATCTAGGTGATACCGCACACCCACTACCCAAGCAGACGTTGTGCGCTACTCAAAAGAACCTTCTGCTCACCTAGTACCCTATAATGGCCATTTGCCATGTGTCTGGAAAGCCACATTTTATGTATCATCTGCACATTCCTTCTTCGTATTTATTGAGTGGTTGGCAAAGAAAATTTTCGATGCACAATAACCTTGCTACTATTGGAAAATAAAAATCCATTTGGTGAAGTACGTACTTATTTTATTTTACTTAATATAATTTCTATTTATCTTTATTTAATCAATTTTATTATATTTTTATTTAAAATATATGCAGTGAAATGCAGCTTTTTTCTCAAAAAATTTCTCTGAGGATGGAAAGTGACTAGCCCATTCTATGAGGGCAAATTTTTCATTTTCCAATATGTAAGAATGAACACAGGCGCCAACTTTTCATTTTCTTCACGGGAGTTGGAGAGTGGGGCAAGATTTGCATTGGACGAAAATTCAAAGTCGTATAGAGGATTTATTTTCCTCTTTCGTGGGAAAGCGGGTTGCAGAGTTTATAGTTTAAGTCTAAATTCTCACTGTTTATACAATTTATTTAAAGACTAGATTCCCCAATTAAGCATCTTGGTGTAATCGTGCATGTGTTTATACAGAGAGGCATAAGGGATATAAAAAGCCACTTGAGGTGCTTACCCATTAGGCACGTAGGCAGGAGGGAGAGGTAAAGAATTGAAGTTTTATATTAAGTTATTTTTGTAAAACATTGAGAATCTTTATTAGATTTTTAATATTAAGTTGGCTTCTGGTGCTTCGTCCTGTACCCTGCTGGGGAATGCTGCATTGGATCTCCTAAGGACTTCTCGTTAAGGGATGAAACTTCAAAATTCCCTCGAGCTAAAAACAGAATTGTCTACATTGGTCACTTAAGCTTGGGTTTACAACACACAGTAGAATTCATGTCAGTTGTAAACATATATTTTTTGTATATTAGCAAAACATTTTGCATTTTCCTTCTCTGAAATTTTTCGGTTACGTCCCTGGTAGGCATTGTTCCCCTTCCCTCTCGTTCTTTGGAGAAAATATGAATCTGCTCAACTAGAAGGCATTTCATACATTGAATTTAATTTTAGGGGTATTTTTAATGGCTATTTCTTCAAAATGTAAGAATAGTATTTATATAAAAATACTGAACTTCAAAATTCCACATGAGGATAGTTATATCTGCTGCTAAGACTTTACAAGTTGTCTTCCTCCATCGAGGAAATCGAACCGTTTGTTGCCGCTCTTCCGCGACAACATCTGCTGATTCCAACTTGGTGAGAATTTTGAGAAAGTGGAGCTTGATTGTGGACAGTCCATTTTTAGATATTGTCTATGAATTACATGTCCAAACATCAGTGGTTTTGGCTGTGATGCCTTTTACAAATCTGGCTTTTGTTGACATGTGATATATTAAAACAAATAACAAAAATGCAATAAAACATTGGAAACATTTACAAGATTGAGGTTAGTAATAAACAAAAATGAACATTAGAAGTTCACAATAGTTCAGTTATAAAAGGCAATACAATAGTACAGTGCGACATCAAAAGGAAAGGTATGTACAGGGAAACGACAACTTCACGTAAAGCTGTTGAATGTGCTGGGGGAATATTTATGGGGGCATTATTATATGGTTAACGTTCCTCGTGAGATGGAATCTGTTTGTTTTGTTTTCAATGCTGTCATGATGGTGTACAAATGGATTGAGGTAAGACTTAGCTGGTGTTTGGGGAGTGAGAGGTTTCAGGGTCATTATACAAGAAGCTCTTGGCAAACATTTAAGTTTGACCCATCCATACGGTCAAATCTTTCCTTATCCGCTTGAAAGAAAGATGCTAATTCTTCACCAGCTGCTTGAAAAACATATCATAAAAGTTATTTTTTTTTAGTTTTTCATTAGCTTCAAAAAAAATTTTTTTTTTTAACTTTTCATCTTTATTCTATATTTAGCAGATGCCATGGCTTATTTTAAAAGAAAGATTAGATATTTAATATTTAGAATTTAATTTTTAAATTTAAATTTAAGTGTGAAATTTTTATAATATGGAAACAAAGAAGAAATTATCCTGTGCACACTATTGTAAACACAAAGCTGAGAAAGATGCTGCTCTTCAGAAGCAGGCAATCGCAATGTCACATTTCATAAAGAAGATGAAGACTACTTCTGACGTAAATAATGTTCACACTGAATAAGCATTAGAATTGACTACAAAAGAACAGACATCATCCAACCAAAGAACATCAGCTACACTGGATGAAGTTATTGAAAGGAATGATGAAACTCCAAAGTAAGGGAATGATGATCCAAGCATGGAATTAAATTAATTGGAAGTAAAAAATTATCCAGATAATTCTATGGAAGAGATTGGCATAAATGAAAATTCCTATCTTAATATTGATTTTGATGATCTTGCAAAGTGGCCAACTCTTAGCGACAAAGTGAGAATGACTTTGTGTTAACTCAATGTGTTAACTGTGAATCAGAAATTTAATTTTGTTAATCCAATGATGGGGGCCGTGTTAGCAACATCATCTAGAATCGTATCTTTTGGAATTCATATAGCAGAAATTCTACAGGAAAGATGAGCCTTTTTATGCCATACTAAATATAATTTGTGAGATATAGCTACAATTTATTTGAGATTAAATATTTTTGGTTTTAATGAAGTTTTATTGCATTATGTTTTGGGCACCATTTTACTGGGGACAGCATAGGACATAAACAGGAATGGCGCCAAAAAAATGCCAAGGCGTACTCTGACATACATTTTTACCAAATGAAGATATACAGATGCAAACTTCCCATTAATGATAAAATAAAACTTAATCTATATTTTTTGGTGGCTAATTTTCATTTAATGATACTTTTCCATTATGCACCTATCATGGATTTTTGCTGTTCTATTGTAAAGTCTCAACATGTCTTTAGCTTCTCTTTTACAGCAGCCAAAAGGCAAGGCAATAGCATAATAGAAAAGTACCCAATTAATAAATATAATTAATAAAATATTATACTGATTTAGCACCCACTCTCCATTGTCACTTACTGGTACACAAAACACAAATTTGAATATTTTAAATGCCAAAATGTCAGTAGGTAAATTGTTGTTTATTTTTAAGAAAAAAATCATATATGTGCACATCAGATGACCACCTCTGGCTATATAGTACTACAGTCAAAAGTCGTTAATCCGGATACCCATAATCTGGAATGATCTATAATCCGGACCTCAAAGCTACAAACTTTCTGCGCATGTGTCAACGCATAATGCATTCACACATGCGCGTAATACTTTTACGCATGCACATAATACTTTTACTTATGCGTGTTTAATGTATAACGGACGGTATAAGCTAAGCTAAAATTATCTATTTCAGTTAATGTTGCAGTGTGCGTTGTTCCTTAATCTTCGAATTGGATCCGGCTTATTATTTTTTGCAGACTGTTAGAGCAATTTTATAAAAGTAAGCTTCAACTTTCGATTATGTCAAATACAATTTCCGATGCTGGAGCTGCCAAAGGATCTACAAAGCGAAAGTATGTTTCGATGTCCATCAAACAAAAAGTGGAATTGCTGCAAAAAATGTATGAAACAAGGTATATCCTTTGTTTCTCTAACCACTCCAAAATCTGTTTATCAATTTCACGCTGCTCTGTTGGGGGGGACGTCGCAGCGCGCAATGAATTGGAAGTTGATCTGTCAGCACTATCCTTATCTTCAGGGCAGATGTTTTTATTTTATTTGGCTTATAATTCCTTTCTAAATGTAGTATTTCATCTCGATGTACTCCGTCTTTGATATGATTTAAATCAAATTTTTCGTCATTATAATTCGCTTCCGATAGTGAAGAAAGTGACAGAGAGGTTATTGAAAACGAAAAAATTTTGATTGACAAATTAGTCGGTATTCTCAACACAGCAATTATAGGACTTGAACAGCGGAACTTTGGAACTGAACAAGAAATTATATCTGTTTATAGAATTAAAGAGAAAATTTTATGACATAAAACAACTTACATTGAAAGAAATGTTTAATAAAGTAAACAAATAAATATTAAGCTTTCTTTTTTTATAAATTTTGACACCCTTTAGATCATAATTGTTCTTTATTTAATAAATTACGGTTTCATAATTTTAATTTTATAATTTCTGCATGCCATCTTACCAGATTTAAACTGATGATCTATAATCCGGAATCGCTGAAGTCCCGACAAGTTCGGATTACAAGACTTTTGACTGTATTATCATCATTTAGGCAGCATTTATACATTTAATAGATTCTCTGCAGAAACACAAATAACAAATGTTAAAAAAATAAAAAATATATATGTTATTACAGACTTCAAGGCCTTTGAATTAAAAAAATTAATAGAAGACTGAAAACTGAACAGGAAAGAAAATATAAAACCTCATATGCAAACCATACAGATGCAATATAAGTTGCTTTCTGCATTCAATACTTTCTTTCTTATACTGTTTCAGGTCATACTTTACTTAAGTAACACTGAACTAAAACTACATAAATGTATTTAAAAAACAAAATTTACCTTATGTGATTTACATTTTTCCAGACAGATTCTGTTATATTTTGGGTAAGTGATATCTCTTTTACAACAGTAGCATGATGATTTGACATGATTTGATTTATGAGATTAATAGCTTCTTCAACTTGATCTACAGATCCATACACAGTTGCAATAGTATAACCATCTAAATTAAATAGTTAAAAAAATTATCAATAAATTAAAGCAAAAACAACAACTTTCCTCACAGGTGATTTTATCAGGGGAAAAAAAATAATTTTAAAACTTTAACTAATACGGTCCAATACCAGATACAACATACAAGAAAATCTAGCCTCTTCCAAGAAATTACAGATGGTATCAAGGTGGGGGGGGGGGCAATATGCAGAAAATAATGATTATGATACAGTAATTTCAATTTTTTCTATATATTGTTATATTACATTTGGATTCACTCATAAAAATTTCACGTATTACTTCATACAAACACAGAAGAGTAAGACACATAAATAATCAATAGAAGATAGTAAAAATGTGATTTACTTTGGAACTAAAACATTTAACTGAATGAATAATCTTTTATCATGCACATATAATTTTCTACACTGTTTTCTGAAATCTAAAATGTAAGTTAATAGAAAAATAATTCCAAATTTAAAAAAATAAATTTTGAGAAACCTATAAGCAATACAAACAAAACTAAGGTTAATTAATTTAATTAAGGTTAATTAATAATTAATTAAGGTTATTTAATGACAGCAAAGCCTTGAGGGCTATCTGCCTAAGGGAAGGGGTACCTTCGTGAACGACTGTCTATGGAAAACTGGCTCGTATACACGTTACACATGGGGAAAACCACAAAAACACCCATGCCGCCAGCCCATTCGCGAGATTCGAACTTCGGACCGAACTACAGTGTTCCGCGACTTTAACGCTCGGCCGCTGGTGGGCCCAAACAAAACTAAGATATTGTTACTGCATTAACCAAATATCAACATGATAATAGCTATAGCTCTGCATAATCAAAATCCAGTTTCAGATAAAATATGCATCAAAACTGATTGTAAAACTAATTTGTCTGATTTACTTTTTTTTTTTAAGTTTTGAAATACATACTCTTTTGACAAAACAGCCATAAGATGAAACGAAGAAAGGTACTGTGTCAAAAGAATAAGGGACTATGAGCTTTGTCTACATTAAATACAAATATTCATAAGGTCCATGTTTGAACAAATCTGCACAATTTTCCCCCAAAGGAAGTGGTGACTCTCACTATAGACAAATGATGTGAGGATGCAAATGGGAAAACTGAGGTATGGAAAACATTTTCATTAAACTGAAACAAACTTTACAACATTAGAGGTTTGATGAAGAAAGGCATAATAATTTTTTTTTAATTATTGTAATAATCAATGACAACTTTGTGGCTTTAATATATGTATACAATATTTTAAATAGTTAATAGAAATGTGGGGTAAAAGCATGCAATACCATTTTTGTGCAATTCTGGGATGCTTTTTTAAGCGAAAATAGGTCGATGTGTGCATGGATACTGAGTACGTGCAATTCTTAAAAACACGCCAAGCAGTGGGTGATTCTGCACTTGCCCGAATTTTGGACCTTCCCCCAGTATTTAATGCAATACAAGGATAACAATAACAATCATACTGACAGACAAATATTTGCAACTTAAATTAGGCAAAGAAGTTTTAGCTCTTGAAGAAGAGGTACCTGCTCGATTACTCGCTGGTGATCCTGGTGAATTTCAATATTTTGGTGAATATTGATTTTTGGTACAGCTTGGGTATAGGATCCCATTGGCGATTTTCCGGCTTGGCGCTCTGTTTTTCTGGTAACCCAGTAAATTCTAGAATACTCCACTACGGCAACCCTGTCGCATTCCCGTGTGTTTTAAACTGGAAGGTGCCATTTACTTTACTGGAGCAGAAGCTGACGGAGTGAACTGATTGTACTGTTTTTTTATCTATGTCATTTTCTTTGCTGGAGCAGAAGCTGACGGAGTGAACTGGTTGTACTGCTTTTTTTTTTTTTTTTTTTTATTATTTCTATTTTTAAGATGCCATCTGTGTTAAGCGTTGTAGAGAAGTTTCAGGAGGTATTAAATGGGAATTTAAAATTTGAATTTTCAAATGGAAGGATGACCTTAGGAAAGCGTGGTATAGCCAATAGATTGTTTCTTGTGCATTTATGTCAAAATCAGCAATTATTCTTAGACTTTTTAAAGGAAGCAGGCTTGATTAAGGGGGGATTTATATGTGAGAAATGTAATTCCGAAATGAAATTTAAAGCTAAAAAGTCAAAGTCAAATGGTTTTATGTGGATGTGTAGGAAAGTGACGGCAGGGAAAGGAATGTGGATCTCAGAAGTCAATTAGATATGGATCATGGTTTTGTAACAGTAAGTTGAGGATAGATGATTTTTTTTTTTTTTTTTTTTAACATACGAAATACTTACAGGGAATAAAACTGCAGCTATTGAAGAAGAGTCCTTTTTGGCTTCTAATACATTAGCAGACTGGAGGCAATTTATAAATGAAACTATTTTAGATTACATAGAACTATGGTACAACTCTAATATAGGCCCTAATTTCACCAAATGTGGCGATATGTGTTCTGCGCTGGTTTTTGGTGTGATTGCGTGTTCTATGCAACCCTGTTGACATTGAAAAATCTTTCGATGGAGCTCGTTGGTTCGCCTCTGTGTCTGAAGGAAAGATAAAATGGTAGTTGTTGAATTGAAGTTCGGCAAAAGGAAATATGATTGTGGCTATTCTGTTGAGGGGTAGTGGGTATTTGGAAGTGTGGAAAGAGGGTCTGGGAGATTATTTTTAATGGCAGTGCATGATAGAAGTAGGGATTTGCGATTTTATTTATTTGTGAACCATAGTATAAATTTTCTGGATAGTGTGTCTGGCTGTCATGTAAATACGATAGTGATTACGTGGCGGCATGTTAAAGGCGGTATGAAATTTATATTTCTGCTATTCGAAAACACATTAATTCATGGTAAGTGCATTTTATTTTATCCTTGTTCTTATTTTGTAGCATGTTATGTTTATTGGTTCTTTAGTATGAATTTCTGCCGTTATTGTTGTTTTTTTAAATTGTTTGAAATTTATTTTAGTTTATTTTGTTGTTTAGTGTCTAGACTGTACAATTCGTAGATGTTTTTTAAAGTTGAAACAGAACGCTGTGTACATGGTATTATTTGAAATTTATTGTTGTTATGTTATTTTATTAAAGCGAGTAGTGCGTAGATCGTAGATTCCTTCCTTGCCTAAATTGTGCAATTCGTAGAATTTTTTTAAAGTTTAAACAGGATGCTGTGTACATGGTATTCTTTGAAATTTATTGTTGTTATGTTAATTTATTAAAGCGACGTGTGCGTAGTTTATAGATTCGTTCGTTGCCTACATTGTGCAATTCGTAGATGTTTTTTAAGTTAAAACATGTTGCTGTGTACATGGATTCTTGTCAAATATTTTTGGTTAGAAACTTTACGTTTCTGCTATCTAAATTTTTTGTTTTTGTTTCGGATTTTTAGCTAAATTGTGTGTTCAAAACGTAGTTTTTGCATGTGCGAAAACCGCGTTTTTGGAGACATTTTAGGCTAAAAGTTCAAAAGGTAGACAAAAATTTAGATAGTAATATGGCAGCGTGAAGTTTCTTGCCAAAAATATTTGGCGACTTGAGGGCGCTTATCAGAGTAGTTCCAGAACTATCATCGGAAAAAATAGGTGGTATTGGCGAAATAGTAGAAGTAGATGAAAGTAAATTTGGAAAACGGAAATACAATAGAGGGCATGCAGTTGAGGGGCAGTGGGTTTTTGGAGGGGTTGAGAGAGATTCTGGCAAACTATTTTTGGTAGCTGTCCACGATAGGAGTGTGAGAACATTATTGGGCATTATTAAGGAGTGGATTATGCCAGTGACCACAATTTATTCTAATAGTTGGAAAAGCTATGATTGTTTAAGTAGAGAGGGTTTTGAGCATTTGAAAGTAAATCATAGTTTGCATTTTGTTGATTCAGAAACGGGGTGCCATACAAACACAATAGAAAGTACATGGAGGCATGTAAAAAGCTCCTTGCCAACACATAATCGGCAAACAGATTTTAAATTTTATTTGGCTTTTTATATTTTCACTAAATCTTGCAAGGAGCAAAATATTGATGTATTCAACAAATGGAAGCACTTCTGCAGAGAACCCGGTTAATGTAAATATCGCCAACTTTGGCGATAATAATTCAAACCTGGTAACCTGTCGGATTCATCCTATTCGCTTGTTTGAAGGTTGCAACCATTCCTCTTGAGTTCATTTTGTTGAATTATCAGTGTCGTTGTTCAAATTTGGAGATTTATATTCTTCTTCTCTTCTTTATTATTGTTTTTCTGATTTTCCACGTTATTTTTTCTGAATTTTTTAACAACGAATAGATAGAAATATTTTCGTATAATTAAAGAAGTTTTCGTCGATAGATGCCGGTTCTAGGCTCCAATTTTTATGGCATAAATTTTATTAAGATACTATATTGTTAATGCTTTTGTAACAATAACCTTTCCGAGGATGGCAGTGTGACATAAATAACTGATTAATGGAAATAAAAAATATTATTGATTATCTAAGACGACAGAGTATTTGATGCATCCCCATGGTCATCAAAATTAGCAAACGACTGCTGGTGTAAGGATACAGTTCAAATGAACTCTTGAAAAATAATAAAATGTATAGAATTCTAGTTTTATTAAGAATGCTGCTACCGAAGAAAATTTGATTACTATTGAAGGTTATTTGTATTGTGAAATATATTATAAAAAGACAGGTTTATTTTCGTATCCCGTTTAACCGGTTGTTTTTACATCTGCATGCTTATTATCTGTGAATTTTTACTACCATATGCTTAATATATTGTTTTGTCTACTAACTTGAATTTACATGCACTAAAAATCACGTTTACGGCTCATTGTCGATGAACCGCGAGCTTGGCGAGTAAAAATGCAACGCCGCCAACGGGTTCTCTGCGGATGAAAACCCCAACAAATTTCTAGAAATTGTAAGGGACATAAATTGGGCAGAGTGTAGGATTTCTTTGTAAATTTACCATGATTTTATAAACTTTACTAAATTTCCAGCATTTCTTTTATTTTTAATTTAAACATGTATTCTGAACTCCTGTTTTCAGTTTTACAACTCAAAACTTGCATTTTCAATACTGCTGCTTAAAATATGCCTCCATGTGTGTATTTTCAAACTTTTCTTTACTTTTAATTTAAACATGCATTCTTAACTCCTATTTTCATGTTTTTAATTTAAACATGTATTCTAAGCTCCTATTTTCAATTTTACAGCTTGTAATTTGTATTTTCAGTATGACTGCTAAAATATGCCTCTATTTATTTATTTATTTATTTTCAGTTTCACTGTTTAAATATATATTCTAAATTTGCATTTAAAATTTTTCTTGTTAAAATGTGCATTCTTACATCTATTTTCAATTTCAACTGCTTTTACAAGACTTTTAGAATATATTTAAACATATATTCTAAAATTTTTTCTGGTTAAAACGTGGTTTCTAACTTTTGTTTTCAATTTTAACGGCTTTTCCAAGACAAAAAATCGCCAATGGGGTCCTATACTCAAGCTGTTCCTGATTTTTTTAAATTTGGAATTATTTCTCTATTAACTTGCATTTTAGATTAGCAAACAAATGTAGCCGTTTTGCCTACTTTAAAACTCCACACTTGCATATTTCTTCTCTCTCTCAATAAGTAACTTGATTTGATCATCACAATTTCAATAATAAGAAAGTTTCCAGAGAAAAAATATATATATGTATAATCAAAAAGAGGGTTAAATAACATGTATAGACATAAAATTTAATAGTTTTACTATATAAAGATTAAACTGCGTAACATTCAAATCAGAAACTAAGTATTCACATATGCATAGAGAACGTATATAATGCACAAAGGAATGTATATGGTGAAAGTTCAAACTTTAAACTTCATTTGAAATCAAAAATTCAAACCTGCATCATTCAATGTTATCCTAGCTTTGCTCTTTTCACGAATATTTTTAATTGTTTCTCCACCTCTTCCTAAAACAAGGCCTACGAAACCTTTTGGTATTTTAATAGCTCTCTGAAATCTATTACTATTGGAAGTCTGTATAATTTCGTCATTTTTTTTCCGCCGCAATACGTACACAACACATGTTATAACTCCAACGCCGACTCCAATACCCAACACAAGTAGGGGCTTTTTAACCCACATTACTATTATAACCTTAAACACAAATTACGGAAGACCAATTAGCGGATAATTGTCATTAAATAAGAAAAATTTGAAATCAGACAGACAAAGACAGATGTCTTGTTTTGCACCAGCTAAATCTTTCTGCCCCACAGGGCGAAAAATCAAGCATAGGTGCGAAGGAAAGGTATAAGGAAAGAGGGGCAATTTCGTATTTGAGGAGAGTAAAAAGGAACTTCGTACATCTTGGAATTTTACAGATAACTGAGTCCCTGATACCGGAAGTTTACCGAAAAATGTGTACTTTTTCCCATGATGCCTTTCGAAATCGCTGATGCAATGTAAGGTTACCAGAATAAATTTTAGAGCCAAGTGCATTGTTCAAAAGTAGCCAAGCTTTTGTTCAATCTGTCATTGTTCGTAGTAGTATTATTAATATTAGGTCGTTCGGCGTGTTCTAACGGCTTGTAATTTTGAAGTTTTTATAACTTGTAATCGACTATGAAGGTTCTGATAACCGGTGATTCCATGATTAAATATATGTACCGATATTTACCGTCTCAGCTGTATGATAATAAACTGCATGCTCTCGCGTTTCCGGGCATAACAATAGAAAGATTGACCAAAAAATTTATCCTTTACCTTTAATGAATACGATTGTATCCTTTTTCATGTAGGGACCAATAATATGGATTCTACGGTACAGCTTTAGTATAGCCCACCCGGAATTTTAACTAAACAAATATCGCCAAGAGCGGCGATAATGACTTGATGTGGTAACCCATACAATTCGCCAAACGCAATGTAAACAATAGGATGAAATTACGGTTACAGCTAATATAGTAGACAGTTAGATTTATTCAATTTCAATACAAATTACCGAGATATCCATTTACTCAAAGTTAAATGCACGTGCTAATATATTCTTACGTTTCCGGCGTAGATTTCACTTAAAACTTGTCTCGCGCTGCATTGCACGGGGAAATACAACATTTTAAATCAGAATTCTACTAAATATCTAAATACAACATTTTTAATCAGAATTCTACTAAAATTAATATTTAAATACAGGCGAGAATAAAAAACGATAATCATCATCACAATTCGTAATACTGTTTTCGGGCTAAAAAGATATTCGAGAATAAATACGATCTGTGTGCGATTGTTTAACGTTCAGTTACCGTGAAAATACTATTTTGGATATATTTTTTGGCTACTTTGGAGGTGAGATTTTTGTATTTAGTTATGGCTTGCTCTAAACCTGCTGTTAGCGATGTTGTATTTAAGTATCAGGAGATTTTTAAAAAGAAAAATTTAAGGTGGGAGTTTTCAAACAAGCGTAATAGTTTGGGAAAGCCAGGCATTCCAAACAGATATTTTATGTATGAATTAAACAAGAGTATGAACTTTTTAGAGGATTTTGATGGATTGTGGTTTACTGAAGGATAACGTTTGTTGTGAAAAATGTAAAGATACCATGCGGGTTAGTTAATCAGAAAAAGTCATCGAATGGTAGTATTTGGAGATGCAAGATGGTGTAGGCTGAAAAATCAATTAGGCGAGGATCTGGTTCGCTTGTAGTAAGCTCAATTACAGGAAATCGTTTTCTTAACATGGGAATTAATTAAGGGTACGGCGTCTAGTATATTGAAGAGGATTTTGGCTTTTCTTCTACGACTTTAGCAGACTGGCGTCAATTCGTTAATGAACAAGTGTTAGATTATGTTGAATTGATGTCAAATAAAATTGGTGGTGTAGGCAAAGTTGTGGAAGTAGACGAATCAAATTTGGTAAAAGGAAAGACAACAAAGGGCATTATGTCGAAGGTCAGTGGGTTTTGGGGTGTAAGAGCGTGATTTGGGAAAGGTGGTTTTTGTGGCTGTTCATGAGCGGAGTCAAAAACTTTAATTGCATTGATTAAAACAATGGATAGAGCCAGGCACTACTATCATCTCGATTGTTGGAAGGTTATAATCACGATGTGTTGACTAAAGAAGGATTTAAACATTTAACCATTAACCATTCACTGAATTTTGTTGATCCAAGTACGGGGACTCACACCAATACAATCGAAAGCACTTGGAGACACGTAAAAACACGTTTCCCAACATATAATAGGCAAAATGATGCGTCTTTCCACTTGGCTATGTTTATGTTCGAAAAAAGTTGCTATGAAAAGAAAATTGATTTGTGCAATGCATTTTTTGAGATTATCAGAGATGTAGATTGGGAAAATTTTACTTATAAACCTTTAGAGTGTTTTCATTGCTTAGTAGAAAAAAAAAACATTGAAACCAAACCAAAATTACCATTGTTGAAAAATGGCAAGTGTATAAAGAATGGAAAACATTAAAATTAGGAAAAATAAAAGGTTAAAAATATTCTTAAAATATGTAACAAAAAATTCCATAAATTTGCAATATTGCAATATAAGTGTATACATAATCAACCATTATAATAGTTTTTTATGTAGACACTAAATTGCATCGAGTGGGTGACACATGAAACAGGGTCCTCGTCCCTCACTCTGGAAACTGTGCATTAAATATGATTGCACAGGCTAATGGTTTCACAAATTTAACTTTTTTGTTTTCCCGGGGGGGGGGGGGGGGGATCTCGTAAATTTCTGTTTTTATTTTCTTTTTATAGCCTGTTATTTATGGTTAAAATTATTGGCTCAATCCTGGAATAGGCTGCACCAGTCCATACGTTTTTTTACTTGTCTTAGGCTTGGATACGCCTTTTTATGACGTAATATTGTTACATTGTTATGCCTTTTCTTGAAAATAACTTATACCTAAGCTATAGCTTCTTATTTAAAGGGTTTTTCGCGCAGCATTCCTGATATATGGCAATAAGAGTTTAACATGTCTTAATTTTTAAGTTAAAAGAGATCACTATGTACATGGGGCAAAGCCAATGTAGTGCGCAATGCCGAGGTTATGCACGTTGCCATGTTTCTGCAATTCTAGGATGTTCTTTAAGTGAAAATAGATCGATGTGTACATGGGCATAGCCAATGTTTGTGCGCAATGCCGAGGTTGTGGCGCGTTACCGAGTTTGGCAATTCTAGGATTTTTTTTAAGTGAAAAATAGATCTATGTGTACATGGACAGCCAATGTTGTGCACTGCCGAGGTTGTGCGCGGTGCCGAGTTTGTGCAATTCTCGGATGTTTTTTAAGTGAAAATAGATCGATGTGTATGGGCAGAGCCAATGGTGTGCAATGCCGAGGTTGTGCATTGCCTGTTTCTGCAATTCTAGGATTTCTTTTAAGTGAAAAGATCGATGTGTACATGGGCAGAGCCAAGTAGTGCGCAATGCCGAGTTGTGGTGCAATTCTAGGACGTTTTTTAAGTGAAAATAGATCGATGTGTACAATGGGCAGAGCCAATGTAGTGCGCAATGCCGAGGTTGTGCGCGTTTGCCGAGTTTGTGCAATTCTAGGACGTTTTTTAAGTGAAAATAGATCGATGTGTACAGGGCAGAGCCAATGTAGTGCGCAATGCCGAGGTTGTGCATTCTCTGATATTTT